GCAACCCGAAGTACTTAAAGATGTCGCTCAAATGCAGACCATCGCCAATACAAGGTATGTGCCCTCACATCATCATCATCATCATCATCCTTCGCCCTTCCTGACTTTACACCCACGTCTTCCTCCCTTACACCCGAAGACCACTCATGCGCCTCACTGTAGTCCAAGCCCACCAGCTATGGTGGCTGGGCTATGGCGCTGCCCTCAGCAGCGCCCTGCTTCCCTGCACGACCGCACGTGCTGCACCTCGCCTCTCAGCGCCAGCAGCAGCCCATGAGCAATTGCTCCAGCAGCGCTGCCGCTAGCATGCGAGTGCCTCAATGAGGCTGCCAGGGGAAAGCTCTTTCCTTTATGGAAAGAGCTGGCCTGCTCGCGCAGCCTGGCTGCACTGGCCTGGGCCCAGAAGCTTCCGGAAGGCCCCAGGATGCTGCCTTTGCCCTGCAGCTACTGGGCCTCGTTCGGTTGGGCCTCCCAACTGTCAGTGYATGAGGCTGCGATTCACGCCCAGGGCCTGCATTCTTTGGAAAGGCCCGGTAGGCCGTGGAAATGTCTTTGTTGCTCAGCCTGTGTTTCTCTCAACCAACTGGCACGTCGCAACTGCCTGTACCCCAAATATGAAATTGACAGTCAAAGGCCTCTTGTGAAATGTTAGGCCCGCCTTCACTTAGGGCGGGCACCACTGTAATCGGGGCCCCTTAGGCCTGTCGAGAACCCAGATCCTTGCATTCCCTCCTCCTTTACTTCGTTAGTCCTCTGAGAAGTCTCTTATTTTGCACGCATCTTCCCTTTCGGTTCTCTTTCATAGCTTGCAATCACTTGAGGTGCTGTTCTCAGGAGTTCTTCTCGTGTGAACCAGCGATCTTCCTTGGGATCGAGATGATGTCTAGAGCTCACACGACACTGCATTCTCGGTTTAGGAAGGGTGCCCTCTGCCTGATGGTCAAGGAACAAGCATTACTCGATGCTCCACGATCTGGTCGATGTCCACCTCGCCATCCATGGTTGGGGGCAGCATTGATCTCCTTGAGGGAAATTGGTCAGTAGCAGCGAAAGGTGCCAACTTAGAGGCATGGAACACAGGGTAAGTCTGTAAGTGTGCAGGAATACGAATCACGTATGAAGGCCCATCCGGTTGATCTCCTACAATGTCCAAGATCTCCCAGGGCCCAAAATACTGTGGCATCAGTTTTCGTGAAATTCCCATCTCCTGACCCAGTTCAGATGACTTTACCCTGACTCGATCACCTACCTGAAAGTTAGAAGGCCGTCTGTGTTTATTCTTGGATGCGATCATAGCTTTCTGAGACTTCCTAATGTGTTCAACGGCCTGCTGCAGCATCTGCTCATATTTAACAATAAATTCTATGCTGCCAGGTGTTGCAGTGGGTTGTCTTTCTGGTAGCAGAAAGTCAAGTGCAGTTTTGGGCTTCCAACCAATGTGCAACTGGTTGGGAGTCATTCCTGTAGTACTATGCACAGTGTTGTTGTACAGGTTGGCGAAGAGAGGTAACCTCTCATCCCAGTCATCCTGACTTGGCTTAATATAATGCCGAAGCAGGTGTTGTACTACCCGGTTCATTTGTTCTGCCTGGCCATTTGACTCAAGGTGATTCCCTGACGTCATTTGGAGTTTGGTACCCATCTGTTCAGCTTGCCACAGTCCGCTGGTAAACCTTACATCCCTATCACTTACTATTGACGTAGGTAGCCCAAAATCCCTAACCCAGTTATCTAGAAACAGTTTGATGACATAGTCAGTTTTAGCAGTTTCTGGCATAGCGATCAGTCTTGCATACTTAGTAAAGCGGTCCACTATCACGAAGATATGCCTCTTTCCAGACTTACTGGTCACAAGAGTATCCATGAAGTCCATGGACACGCTCTGACCAGGACCTTCAGGAATCGGCAAGGGCTTAATGAGCCCAAGCGGAGCCTGAGTCCTAGGTTTGTCCCTTTGGCAAACCTAGCATGTTTCAACGGATTTTTTTGCATCTAGCATCATAGTGGGCCACCAGAACTTCTGCACTAGGTTAGCTGAGATCTTTTTGTATCCGAAATGTCCAGTTGCATCGTGAGACTCACCTAAAAATAAACTACGCAAAGACTCACTATTTGGGACACACAAGCTTTTATTCCCTGCCTTCTCAAGAAACAGCAAGCCGTCTACCATCGCAAATTCGTCCAAAGTCTTTTTGTCCTTTGCTTGGAATCTACGGATGATCTCAGATATAACTGGATCTTGCTGATAGGCTTCCACCAATGATCGAGTGAGATCGTTAGATATGTCAAATTTTGTAACCAACGCGCCCAAATAATCTGCCCGACGAGATAGTGCATCAGCCACTTTGTTGTACTCGCCCTTGATTGGATCAAGTTGATAGCCATACATGTCTATCACTTGTATCCACCGCTTGAGTGCGTCGGAGAGCACAGGCTGTGTCTTAATCCAACGCAAGGTCTCATGGTCAGATCTCACATAGAAGAATCTGTCAAGGAGATAATATCTCCAGTGGACCAGCGCTCTATATAGGGCATAGAGCTCACGCTCATACGTGGACTTTGCTAGTTTTTGAGATGGCATCTTCTTATTCATGTACTCGACAGGTCTCAACTTAGGCCCCTCCTTTTGCACAAGGACCGCGCCTATGCCATACTGGCTGGCGTCTGTGGTCACGACAAATGGCTTATCAGGATCGGGAAGTTTAAGAACCTCATAGTGTGTCAGAGCATACTTCAGTTTCCTGACGGCCGCCTCACACTCTTCAGTCCACTCCCAAGGGGTGTCAAGTCGAGTTAGATCAGTTAATGGGGAAGTTATAGTACTATAGTTTTTCACAAACGGACGATAGTAGCCCGTCATCCCCAAAAATGATCTGACCTCAGTAACACTCTGAGGTCTGGGCCAGTCTTGTATGCTGGCCACCTTTGCATCGTCTGGCCTCAACCCATCTGCTGAAATTTCATGACCCAAGTATAAGATCTTGGTGCGACCAAACTCGCATTTCTCCAAGTTAACCTTGTACTGGTGCTGTCTCAGAAGACCTTGCACTATTTTCATGTGCTCAGCGTGCTCCTCTACAGTCCTACTAAAGATAAGGATATCGTCGAGGTACACGACGATAAACTTGTCTAAGTACTCATGAAAAATCTTGTTCATCGCGTGTTGGAACGTACCAGGTGCATTGCATAGGCCAAAGGGCATCACCACAAACTCGTATAGATCGTACCTGGTTTGAAATGCAGTTTTGTGTTGGTCCTCAGGTCTAATGGCCATTTGATGGTATCCGGACTTCAGATCTATCTTGGTGAAGTACCGGCATCCCTGCACTCTATCCAAGAGGTCATCGATGCGGGGTAGGGGCTGCGCGTTCTTAACGGTGATGGCATTGAGGCCCCTATAGTCAATGCACATCCTCAAGGTACCTCCCTTTTTCGGTACGAATAAGACTGGAGCGCCGTAGGCGGAGGTACTAGGCCGAATCCATCACTTCTCTGTGAGCTCCTTGAGCTGGCGACGGAGCTCATCTAACTCTGCAGGAGACATCCTATAGATTCGTCCTCTAGGTACCTTACTACATGGGACAACCTCTATTGCATGGACAACCTCCCTTTCTACCACGCCTCTGGGCTCCTCAAAAAGGTATGAATATTGTGCGACGATTGATTCTATCTCTGGGGGTGTTTTTACGACCTCCCCTTTCTCAGAGACAAATACTAGATACACGCTCTCCTCGCGATTCTGCTTATAATAGTTATAGAAGGATGATGCACACATGCACCCATAGTTTTCTATCAGACTGCTAGCTTTGAACTTTTGCAATCTAACAGATCTACCGTTGGGCAATTTGTGAATCAATACCTTTCTATCCCAGTCAAACTGCGGTTGCATGACCTCAGGTAGTACATACCTAGGAGCATGTCAAAGGGCAGTTCGTCGCTAACCAGGAAGGAGATTTTATGGCTCACTTCCCCTCCTCCATAGGAGAAGGTACAGACTACGTCCTTGACATAGTCTTTTACCAACATTTGGTGCTTGTTGGCCAGGGTAGAAGCTACAGTTCTGCTAAGCCGCTGCACTTGGTCCCCTAAGCGCAGTCTGTCCACAAAAGCACGACTGATGAAGTTCCGTGTAGAGCCTATGTCTGCGAAGGCGCCAACCTTACGGCCACCTACATCAACCTTTACCACGAAATGTTCACCCTTTGGACCTCTACTTATCATCGCCCAAGAGTCCCTGGGGTCCTTCCCTGACCACTCAATCTCTAACTCTTCTAGGGCCTCTGACACATCTCTCGAACAGAGCGTCGGTGGGTCTGAATGTGTCCGCAGGGCGATACATGGGTCACTAGCCTTGGCCAACGCCTGAAGTGGGGAAGGCAACGTAACCACTTCAGCGCGAGTAAGAGCGGCTAAAAGTCCTACTGGCCTGAGGTGTTTCCGTGCGAAGTGCTCGCAGAAGCACCGCCAAAGTTCGAAGATAGTCCCACCACCGTTGGTGAGGCTACCCTCGTCAGGACTTTTTTGCCTCGACACGTTCGTGACATGTGGCCATAGTTGCCACAGTTCATGCATGTGCCCCTAGCAACTCGGTCCCTCCACACCTCGTACTCTAAACCAAGCTTCACCCAAGCAGGTGTGCCTTGGTCGCCCTGACCCGTGGACCGGCCTACCTTCTTCTTCCCGCTCCCCCTAGCCTTTTCTTTGACAGGTGCCACGACTCCCGCATCCGAAGTCTCACTGGCCCCATCATGCTCTGTGTCCTCCCCAAGGTCTGGGAAGTCGTCAATCTCTGTTGTCTGACCATCATGATCGACGAACATTAATTGGCCTTCTTCTTCCAGTCTTGGGGTAGTCTCTTCTTCCTACCATCGCCCTGACTCTGATGCGCAGATCCCAACTTAGCCTCTATGTCTAAGGCTTTCTTGCTGAAAGAGGCGAAGTTGTGCTGATCGACATAAGCCTCATCTACCAGCTTTGTCCTTACCTCCGAAGGCAGACATCTAAGGTAATCCGTAAGGATTACCTGCTGGTCATAGTGCACACCAGGTACCACGAGCAGACGTTCTACGGTGTCCATCAGCTATCTAACATTCTTGTACCGTCTGGCACAAAGACTGTTGATAGCGTCGATGACCTTTTGAGCCCCTTGAGGGTCATGCCACCTGTTGTATACGGACCGTACGAACTGTTCCAATATCTGGGCCTGGGCCCAAGCATCGAAATCCTGACCGTAGCCCTGCTGCTGCACTAGGCCATTTAACCAACGGGTTGCTGACCCCTCTAAAAAGGAGGCAGCCACAACAACTTCTTGCTCTGGCCTAGTAAGCTTGTGCCTCACATAAGTAGGCATCGTCCTTACCCAGGTATCCAAATCCTCGTCCTTCTTCCTATTGCCAGAGAAGGGCTTAGGACTCAACAAGGGTATCTTGGGCATCCACTGCATACACTGCATGGGCCCAGGGGCCTGCTGCAGTGGCTGCATAGCCACTGAAACAGGTTGCTGCACACTAACCTGGGCCCGACTTTACAGTGGGAATGTAGTAACCACTGTCGGCGATGGTACGACTGAGACTCTATGAACCGGACCACTAGTTGCTACAAAACCACTTGGAGGGGGCATGCCAAACATAGGTGAGAATGGAGGCCCAACAGACGGCCGCGTCACTGATGGACCTGCGCCCGAAGGGGGAGCTACAGCAAACTAAGGGTGCCTCATCAATAGACGAGGAGCGTGCATTGCAACCAGAATTTGTTTCTGGTCGGCCACTAGTTCAGCCAACACCTCCTGCTGAACTACCTGCGTCTCCGCTACACACAGGAGCGCGTTACGCAATGCTCGTATTGCAGGATCCAGTGTTGACTCCTCTAGCTCTTCTAATCTGCTTAACTCCTGCATTCTACTAACTAGTCTAGCCTTTCGCATGATTGTTTTTCTTCTCCTCTCTTCTGCCTCATCCAATTGCCGTTGTAACTAGTCCTAAAGTTCTTCTGCTTGGAGGATTTTATAATCCTCCGGCGTGAATTGAGTCTGCTGGCCGACTCGCAAACCAGCAATCTGGCTAATGGACCCCTGAGAACCACTCTGACTAACTCCTGACGAAGTGAACTGTGAAGAGGTTTGCAACATGGTAGATGAAGTGGCCATGGTTGTACCAGTACTAGCTATAGTTCTAAACCTGGCACTATCCTCAGCCACCCTCACTCTCCTTGTTGCTGCTCTCTCTCTAGCCTCTCTCCGCAGTCTCCTCTCGTGTCCTGGACCTAGCTCTAGGAAAGTCAAGGCTCGACTACGAGCAGTTCCACAAGTAGTCCTACGGTCGTCCACTAACAACTCCTCACTTGTGCTTGCATCACTTATGAGCTACAGTGTATGTGATATAAACTAGAATCCACACTAAATCCTACCTTAGCCTGACACACAACCGATTACAAATCACAACTAATTTCGGTCGGACTGAACAGAAACAGTTAGGTAATGCAATAACAACTAATGTCAGATCCTACAGGAAATATCATACCTATTTTTAGATTACCCTAGAACAGATTGCAATGCAGCAAAGATCTACTCTGTTTGCAGTTGTCTGTCAGTTGTTAGGCAAGTCTGTAACCACGGTTGTCACGCGGGGATCCCCGGGGCCCAAGCCGGGGTAGGGGTTTCACCCCCGGACCCCCGCCGCGGGGCTACCCGACCCCCACCCCCGCCAAAACACCCCCCCCCCTGCCCCAACCTGTCTCTTATACACATCTAGATGTGTATAAGAGACAGATGTAACCGATGGCCGATCTGGGAGGCCGCCTGGTATCAATCCCAACTATCTCCAATGTCTCGCATCCGGTAAGTATCACAGCCTCCTACCACC